TCAGAAACTCTATATAAGGTTGCTATGAGTGGGAACCAACTCAACAGTAGTTCACAACAACAGCCACCTTGTAACTGAGACTTAGCATTGGCTTCCATTTGGCGTGTAGGCCATAAATCATAGTATGTCAGCAGAATCTGTCAACTTTTCACCCTTAGAAACCACTCATCTTTTAATGTCCCATTACATTTGTTTCAGATGGCATGAAAATAGCATATACACTCACCATCTATTTTGAAATGACCTATCTTTCTGCTAGGACAGAAAGAACAGTCACCCACAGGAGATCAAAAGGGCAGATCTGCCTGGGGATAAAGCTCAGAAGGCAGGAAGGGACAGGAAAGAAGGAGAAATGGAAACGGGAACCCAGGGAGAAGGTGGGAAGAGCGTGCTGCATTGTGGGGGCTGTGGTCAAGGGTCAAAACGTGAGTCAAGTATTGAACAGAAAACCAATTTACTCTGCAAACTTTGACTCCGATAAATAAATATATTAATTTAAAAGGACATTTGTTACTCTATCACCAACTCTTGTAGTACTTTGATAACTAGATCTCAGTATAATTGACTTTCACTGGAATCCTATGTGTTTTGTTTTATGTATTTAAAAGCATTTTAAGTAACCATGGCAATGAAACGATATATGAGAGGATGAATGTAAAACTAATGTTCTCCCATGTAAACTATCACATAATTCACAATAAAACATTCACACAAAAAAAGAAAAAAAAGAGCTTATGAGGGAAGGAAGAGTCCACTGAATAGTTTTCATCTTGTCTAGATGAGGCTGGTAAAAAGAGATGGAAATAAGATTCCTATGATTCAGTAGTGATAATTGTTATCATGACTAATTGCGACTATCAGAATTGTAAAGGTAGAAGTTTTGTAACAAAAATGGGGGAGTAGTTAAACTTACAGTCCAGAAACAAAGGACCCTAGGACCATCAGAGGCAAAGAGCACAAGCAGAATGTGGGGACCTTATCCAGAGAAGCAGTGACACCCAGAGATGGGGACATGGAGAGAGGAAGCAGTTGAGGAAAGAGAGGGGCTGAGAGCTGGTGAAGAGGCAGACTTGTAGAATATGTCCTTTGGTGGTGTAAATTATTATATATGTCTAAGTGTTTAAAAAGGAAAAAGAAAAGAGCTAAAATTAATAGAGAGGAATACTGTTAACTGATGGTACATGGAGGGGATCATAATCATTGTAATGAAACAAGGTGTATGATTTGTTGAATGTAAAACTGATGATCTGCCCGGCAAACTTTCACTCAATCCACAATAAAAACATTTTTTTAAAACAGCATTTTGAGAGGTGGCGGGGCGTCGGTGGCTTCACTGAGCCATCGATTCCAGGGTATAACAGGAAGTGGAACTTTTTGCTCACAGTGTAATGAACGGTGATGTAATAAACATCGTGGGGTGATGATCAGAGAAGACTTTTGCTGTCTGTTTTCTCACATGACCTCCGGATCCTTGTCCCTCCAGCTTTCTTCGGGAAGTACCTTAACGAGTATAATGGCTCCTATGTGCCACCCGGATGGAAGGAGTGGGTCGGACTGCTTAAAAACTCGCGCTTCTATAACTACACTCTCTGTCGGAACGGGGTGAAGGAGAAACACGGCTTCGACTACTCCAAGGTAAGCTGAGTCCTTTCCCGGCCTGGGAAAGATGGTGTGACCAAGCGGTGAGGGACACAACCTAGAGGGTCCAGGCTGCATGCATTTGTTCAGACTATGACTCGGATGTGCACTTACATGTGAGACTACATTCGCTGCCTCTCTGCTCGTTCCTCTTTCTCACATAGCCTCGGTCTCAAGAGTATTTTTTTTTAACATCTGACTGAGGCAGAATAGTCTTAGAGAATTGGGCTCAGATGTACAGTTCATTGAATCTTCACAAACTCAGTCTGTACACACCATTTTAGAGCATTGTCTGAGAATGTTAACAAACCAATCGATTGCCATCAAGCTGGTTCAGACCAGGTAGAGATGTGTCCCATTAGGAACTCTAAGAATGTCATCTCTAGGGAAACCTCTTGCCACGTTGTTCTGTTTCGGAGTGACTAGTGGGCTTGAACCACAGAACTTGTGGTTAGCAGTCAAGTACTTAACCCACTGTACCACCAGGATTTTTTTGTCTGAGAATAGATTCCCAAATAAAAATGATGAGATTCCACTGTAAGAAGGTACTAGACCCTCTGGAGCCAAAACACCTTTCCCTGCCCCCTTTGGAAACTGCCTCTGAAAGGAGTCCTGGTGAAGTAGTGGTTAAGGGCTCAGCTGGTAACCAAAAGGTTGGCTGTTTGAACCCACCAACTGCTTTATAGGAGAACCATGGGACATTCGGTTTCTGTACAGATTCCACCCAAACAAGCCCTGTAGGACAGTTGTCCTCTGTCACAGTGTCTCTGATTCAGAATGGAGTCAGCGACCACCGACCTGAGGGTCATCAGGACTGACACGTGTCTACTTCCTGTGCAGAGTCGGGTCACCGGGCCCTGGTACCAGAAACCACTAGAGACATATGTATTCCAGGCTCTGCACACAGCCGGCCTCCATCACTCCTGAGTGGATGAGTGCCCATGTCCTGGGGAGGAAATTTGGGGTTCCAGGAAATAGAGGTTGTTATCTCCTTGGACCAGATGCACTATTCCTCCTCCAGCCTTGGAGCAGGCAAATTCTCCCAATCTCCTGAGAACCCCACTCGGTCCTCTTTAGGATTTCTCACCAGGCCGGTCATCACGTTATGTGGAGATACTGGGGTCCTTTGGGGCTTAGGATGGAGACGTAGTATCCGCTATTGTGCCTGTTTGTTGCCACACTAACATTTCTCCTGTCGATGACAAGGGGCCTCATGGGACTGAGGGGTCTGGAAACGGGCAGTTTAACAGGGGTGTGGAGGGGTGTCCCCCTTTGGAGTCAGAACTGGCTCAGGTTCAGGGTTCAGATGCAGCTCAGGGAGCAGCCGGGGCATCCAAAGGGAATGGGAAGGAGCTCAGTGAGCTATCCCCCTGCCCAGTAAAGCGTCTCGGTGGGCTCAGGGTCTCACACTAGGCCTTCTGTGGACTCTGTCCTGAGTCACTCATCCCAGAAGTGAGCAGTGCCACAGAAACCACCGAGAAAGGGTGGTATGGAGTGTATGCTTGTGTGGAAGAGGGTTAGGGATAGGGGGAAGGGAGATCGGAATGACCTAGGTGAGTCTCAGAGTTTCAAGGCTGGGGCTGAAGCCTGGAGGACCAGCACTTCTGGGAAACATCTCCTCCCGTAAAGAAACCCTCCCATGGGGGGTCACTGTGAGGCAGAATCCACCCTGCTCTGAACCAGCATATACTGCCTTTCATTAACAGTTGTGTCTGTTTGTGAGGAGGGAGGAAGAAGATGACCAGACAAAATCATAAAGCCTGAGCCCTAGCCCTGGAGGCTGTTGCTTATTGGTCGTATACTCAGTTTCCCCATCTGTAAAATGGGCATAAGGCCCACTTCTCAAAGAACAGTAAGAGCCGGCGTGCATCATGGGTTGTCTCTGTGTCACTGCTTTACTCATTGAGAAAGCCCTTGCCGAGCCTCCACACACACGGGCCTGAAGAGGGGACTGTCTTCAGGGTTGTTTTTCAGATACTGAAACTGAGGTGCAAAAGGTAACCAATCCCTGAACACACCGCTAGTAACTGAGGTTTAGCCCAGTTTTGTGGGAGTTCAGAGCTCTCAGTCTTCAATAAGTATCCTTGCCCCTCACAGAGATGTGAATCCCTCTGTAAACAGACTGTGTAGAAACTCCCAAGGGTGCAGGTCAGCATCATGGTCGGGAATGAAAGAATGATCTGCCTGGGGAAGCCAAGGACTCCACTGCAGGCTCCACAGCCCCCCACCCCCCAACTCCCTGTCTAGCCTGAGACGAAGCCATTGGTTTCCAGATCCAACCTTAAAGTGGCCCCATGGTGCTCCTACAAGCAAAAGCTGTAACTAGATCCTCGTGGGGTCCCAGAGACTCTCCAACTGATGGTGAATTTAAAAGGAAGCAGAAACTCCAGCTTCCACAGGGCCACTGTGTAAACGATCCCTGGAGGCACCGTGGTCATGTTCCTCCTCCCGAGAGAAATGGTCACCAGCAGCTGCCCACCCCTCCCTGGTCTCCTCTTCCCCTCCTCCCTACTCTCCCACCACTGAGGGGTCCTAAGAGAGAGGGACGCCTGCTCTCCCACCTGAAGTCACAGGCCCTCAGTGCCTTCCCACCTCTCCGAATACCCTCCAGTCACCTCCCAGGGCCCACAGGTCATGTGTGATCTGAGGTCATTGCCTCTCTGGCCCTCCTCCCTCCTCCCTCCCTACCGCCCCTGCAGCTGTCTCCCCGCCCGCTTGGTCTCTAAACTCCAGAACATTGGCCTTACCGTCACCCACACCAGCATGGTCCATGGGGCCTGGAGGAAAGTTTAGCTCCTGAATGTGGAGGGAGGCAGACCTCCTCAGACAGGAATAGAAAGAGGCAGCTATGGTGACTTCCCATGGTCCATTAGCCATTCTCCGGTTCTAGAAAATTCTCTTAGTGAACTGCATGGCTCTCCCACTTGCTTTCCCTGCGAGCTAAGAACTCTGAATTTCTAACTGGCTGACCCAGGTACCCCGAAGTCAAGTCAGGAAGTGAAATCAGTTATGTCTCCCTTCCCCTCAGGGCCCCCTCTCTGTACCCTGCACCCACTGTCCAAACCACAGAGCAGTGATGGAAGGTGGGAGGGAGGAGCCAACTGGACCTGTCACTCACCCCTCACAATCAGCTGCCCCATCCTATGAAGGCAGCTGCCATCGCTGGACCTGCCACCAGCATCTCACCCCTCACTCTGAGGCCAGGACTGAACACAAGATTCTGAGGCCAAAGGAATGGCCAGCCTCCCACCCCTGGGATAGATGGTAGGCAGAGAGGGAGGGCTGTTTCCTAAGGAGGACGTGGGCTCTGACCCAGAGTGGAAAGTCCAGTTGATGCTGGACAGGCGCAAGTGTCCGATGACCTTGCAGACAGCCCGGTAGCAGCCAGAGATGCAGGAATGGCCTTTGAAGGGTGGAGGACCGAGAAAGGGGGGGCAAGTCACAGCCATGCAGACCTTCTGCCACCACCAGAGTGGTAAATGTTGGCTGAAGAACTGTGTGTCTATTAGCACCATAAACTCTCACAACAGCCCTGGGAGGCAGGGACAGTAATCACCAACACCTTCTGAAAAATAAACCTCCCCGAGAGTCACTCCTCACTGCTCCATCTTCCGGAGACCCCCACCCAGCCCCCATGGGTGACCCGTGTCCTGAACTTGGTGCTTCTCATTCCCACGCATGCTTCTATACTTTATTCCCCCGGCAGACATCTCAAAATAACACGTAATATTGTTCAGTGGGTTCTTAGACTTCCTGTAAACGGCCTCGTATCAGACGTACTCTTCTACAGCTTGCTTTTCTCTCCTAATACCGTGTCTGGAAGATTAACTCATGTTGATATGAGTAGCTCTGGGTGATTCTTTTGCTCTGCTGTATAATCCCATTGTGTGAAGAGATCACGATTTATTTGTCCTCCCCTGAGAGTGGATGTTAATGTGGCTTAAAAAAAAAAGTTTAGTCATAGCCAAACAGACATATATCTAGGAAAATCTAATAATAAAGATGGGTTTATTATGGTATGGGGGGGGGGGACAAAAAATAAGAGGCTTGTTAAATAAACAATGGCACATCCAGTGAATGTCACTTTGTGGCTCGAAAAGGATGATGTGTCCTTACTGATAGGAAGAAACAAGCTACTATCACACGAGGAGAACTGCAAGGTGATAAAGGTGTGAGAACAAGCGGAGGGCAGAGTGCAGATGAACCGGAGGGCAGAGTGCAGATGAACCGCTGCTTATATGGACACATTGACCGAGAGGAGGGGGCCCAAGGAAGTAGCCCCACCCCTTCCTGGACTGGGGCTGGGGAGCTTTGGGACAAGAATGGGCAAACTGCCACTCTCTACCCTTTTCCATCTTCTAAATCTGCTGCACAAGACCTCTTTAAAGTGTTGAAGAGCAAAGATGTCAGCTTGAAGACTAAGGTGCGCCTGACCCAAGCCATGGTATTTTCAATTACCTCATATTCATGCAAAAGCTGGACAGTGAATAAGGAAGACTGTAGCAGAATTGATGCTTTTGAGTTATGGTGCTGGAGGAGAATATTGAAAGTGCCATGGGCTGCCAAAAGAACTAATAGATCCGTTTTAGAAGAAGTGCAGCCAGAGTGCTCCTTAGAGGCCAAGATGGCCAAACTTCGGCTCTCATACTTCGGACATATTGTCAGGAGGGACCAGTCACTAGAGAAGGATATCATGTTTGGTAAGGTGGAGGGTCAGAGAAAAAGAGGAAGACTTCCACTGAGATGGATTGGCAAAGTGGCGGCATCGATGGACTCAAGCATGGATCGAGCAGTGTTTCGTTCTGATGTGTATAAGGACACTATGGGTCGGTACCAACTCGATGGCACCTAACAACAACAACAGGTTTTGAAACTCATGACAACGTTGTTGTTGTTGTTGGGTGTTATTCTGTCAGCTCTGACCCATAGCGAGCCTGTGTAGGGTTTCCAAGGAGAAGCTAGTGTGTTTGAACAGTGGATTTCATGGTTCAAACCAACCTTGCAGTTCAGTGCTTATCCTGCAGCATCACACAAGGACTCCTATGACAACATTGTTATTGTTAAGTGTCATCGAGTCAGTTCCAAATTACAGCTACCCTGTTTAGGGTTTCTAAGGAGTGGCTGGTGAGTTTCAACCCAATCTTGTGGTCCTATGCTTATCCTACAGTACCATACCAGGACTCCACGACAGTACTACCTACTAAAAATAATGAGATTAAAACAAAACAGGACCCGAAACATAAAGAAAAGGAGAACAACATCAGTCCTCTCCCCACCCACCCTCAACCGAAGAGAGCAAGTTTCAGCAGGTGGTCCCCACCTTCTCTGATAATCACATGTTCACTGCCTTTTCCTGATTGGTCCACTTGACTTCCTGTCAAAATGTGAGTCCCTCCTTTTGACCCAAGAGCTATGCATCATTTTTAAATCTTCTCAGCTGCTAGCCAGAAGTTTGGAGGTTCAAACCCACCTACCTGCTCTGTAGGAGAAAGGACTCCCAGTCTGCTCCCATGAAGATGACAGCATTAATGGGGCAGTTTTGTTCCGTCACACGAGGTCATGACAAGTCAAAATCAACTTGATGGCATCTAGCAGTAAGAATTACACTGCATTATTTTATGAACTTTTCTAGCACCTTTAAATCATGTTCCATCAATATAGCAGCAGCTAGCAGTTTTCTGTAAGAAGTGTAACAATGTAACATGTGATGTTACTTTACTGTAATAAATCCTACAGTAAGTAGTCCCTTTTTAGAACCCTTTCCATCCTAAAATTTATTATGAAACATATACAGAGTATCAGTTGGTTTCTCCCTTCTCTCTTCTTCTCCCAATCCCTAATTAACACTTTGGAGACCTGGTGTGGCACTTCAGATTAATGCACTGGAATACAAGGTCGGTTTGGACTGCAAGGTTGGCAGTTCAAGCTCACCAGCCGCTCCCCAGAAACCCTATATAGGGTCACTATGAGTCAGAACCTATTGAGTGGCACTTAGCAACAACAACAACAGTAAGCACTTTGCTATCTATTCTGGTGTGGCTCTGTGGTCTAAAGCATGAACTGCAAAGTCAGTTTGGCCCACAGGGTCGGTGGTTCAAACTCACCAGCCACTGCTTGGGAACCCTATACCAGGTCACTATGATTCAGGACCAATCTGACAGCACTTAACAACAACAACAAATCCATTTTTCTAAATTTTCCTTGGTGTTCAAAAATATGTGAAGTTAGGGCTTCACTTACCCACTGCCCCGTGCTTCTCTTCCCTCCCACCCACAGACACACAAATAGACGGCTTTCCCTTTCCCTTGACAGCTTGCTATGTCAGTAACTACAAGTCTGCTGTCTTCGTGCTGTATGGATGACACGGTGGCATATGAAAGCATTCCCCTGTAGCTGGGCATTGCTTTATAAATGATACCACAATGATCAGTGCTGTGTCTCTGGAGACGGCCCATGAGCAGAGTGATAGAAGTGTGTCTACAGTATTTTAAATCAGAAGCTCACCCTTTCTATCACCATTTTTTCTTTAAAATAAACATTCTCTCTTTTTGAAAGTGGTAGTTTTTTAAAGTGCTGGGGAAACAGAGGACAAATTACAAGAATTCATCATCTTCAAGAGATACAAACTGAGAACTGCCACTGTGGCTGGTGGGGGTGCTGAAAAGATGTGGGGAAAGGAAAGGATGTTGTCAGACATCCACAGTGCCCACCGTGGAAAATGGAGGAGCGTTGATCCAATCCCCATACTGAAGTTGATGGAGAGTGGGGTAGGAGTGACGAGCAGAAGCAGATGAGGAAACAAGTACAGAAAGACATAGTGATCTGCCCCCAGGCCACGCAGCAAGTGAGCGTGGTGCTGGATCAAGAACAGCAGACTCGGTTCAAATGCAAACCTGCAAGCCAAGACTCTACTCAAGAAAGATCCCCCAGGAGACTCCAAGCCAACATTGCCCATCCTGATCTGCAGCAATCCACAATGGGTTTTGCCACGCAAAGGAAACACCAGGAAGACAGTACTCCAATTAGAACTTAGTGGTTATGAGTCGGGCTGCTAACCTCAAAGTCAGCAGTTCAAAACTACCAGCCAGTCAGTGAGAGAAAGATGAGGCTTTCTGACAGCCTCGGAAACCCTATGCAGGGTCACTATGAGTCAGAACTGACTCCACGGCACACAACCACCATCAGTCACAAGGCTCCACACCATAATATGTACATGTTATGCTTTAGAAATACTGCCTCAGACAAAGTGTATCTGAAGATAAGGGAGTAATGTTAAGAAAGTTAGTAGTTTGACAACTCCTTGTAAATTTTCCTTCCTTCACCTGCATTTCCCTTTGATGTGGAACCAGTTACCTTTGTATGTTTTGCCAAATAAAAAATCCATGCAAGCCGGATTCCATGCCTCATCCTCTTGTAGAGTGCCCCCTTTCATAAAATGTAGTCATCCCTTCGATAAATTTTTTTTGTTTTAATTTCTAATGGAAAAGAAAGAGAAGCTTCTGAAGATTTACTAAATTCCAACAAGGTTTGGACAAAGCTCAGATTCTATGTTGAGCTTTTAAAGCCCTCAATTTCTGGCCATTACTTTTCTTCTCACTTTCCTCTTGTCCTTCCTCATATCTGAGCGAGCTCTTCACTTTTCTGATAACACCACTACATGCCTTTGTTTATGTGATCATCCCTGTCTTCCATCTACTGATATTTCACCCTGCCCTCTTTCTTTTCCTTGAAAACATGGCAGATTCATCCCTGCCTTTCATACTTTCTTTTACTCTTCTATCTGGAACTCTTCCTATAGATTCTCAGTCCTGGGTATACATTGGAATCACTTTGTAAAGCTTTTTATAATTCTGATGCCCAGACTGAACCACAAACCAATCGAATCAGAATCTCTAGGGATGGGCCCAGGCATCAGTAAAGCTCCCCAAGGAGCCTCAAATGGACACATGAAGTTGAAAACCAGTGATCTTGATCTTCCCATGTCTGACTAGCCTTCATATTGTTCAAATCTCAGCTCAACTGTTACCTCCTCAGAGAGACTCTCACTGTCTGCTGCCCACCTCAGTTCCTCATTGGTCTCTTATGTATTTACCTGATTTATTTCCTTTCTCTTTCTGCCCTATCACACTCATCGTGTTGCTTTATATGCTTTCTACTGCTTCCCTTTCCCTCCAAATAAAGATGCTCAAGGAACGTAGGAAGGTCTTCAGCCTATACCATGGTCTCCCAGGGCCTTGAAAAGTCTTCAGACTTAGGAACCAAGACTCAGGAGCCCTGGCTTCAATATTTGCCAGCTGTGTGTCACTGAATATTTCACTTCTCTGTGCCTTCATTTTTCATCCTAACAAATAGGGACTGTCATTGTAACTACTTTGTAGAATTGTGTGGCACACCATAAGTACACATGTATTTGTTATGCATGAGTGACATGGTGCAATTCCTCCCCATTCTCCCTCACCCCCTTCTCTGAGTTCTTTTTCTCCATGACACTGAGCATCATTTGACATTCCTTACAGTGGATCTGTCTGTGCTCCATCTATCCTGGACCACAAGCTCTGTGAAGGCAGAGATGGTTGTGTGTTCTGTCTATTGTGTACCCGATGCCTTGTGAGTGCCTGGCACATAGGACGAATGCACATCTCCTCATACCACCTCCCTGTCTCTCCACATCCCCAGGATTACCTCACTGACCTCATCACCAACGACAGCGTGAGCTTCTTCCGAACGTCCAAGAAGATGTACCCGCACAGGCCAGTCCTGATGGTCATCAGCCATGCAGCACCTCATGGCCCTGAGGACTCAGCACCCCAGTACTCACGCCTCTTCCCCAATGCATCCCAGCACATGTAAGCATCCAAGCCTGCATGGCAGACCCACGGTTGGCATGAGGGTGGGAAGGACAGTCTGTAGTATCATGGTGGCAAGGTTACATCCTGTATTTTCTCTCTAACCCACTGCTCACCTCAGGTAGAACTGGGGCACAAGCCAGCCAGCCTGGCTGACTCACCAGAGCAAGAGATGAGAGTTTTTAACATATGACCCGCATCTGCCTCCAAGAGCCCTGTGGGTAGAACTGCACGTCAGGGTAATAGATTTCCTTGACAAACCTCTGTGTTTTATTCCGTACTCTCAAAACTATTCTTCGAGAAAGAGTCTGTCATTTGACCAGACAGACTACTAGTACATTCCCCTCACCTACTGAGCTGTTGCATTTGTGGTGGGCTCTATGCTAAGCCCTTTACATTGCATCCGATTCCCGAATGCTGATAATCTCAGTGACCCTGCGTGTGTTCCTTACCTATTGCCACATAACAGATTACCCCCAAACTCAACAACTTAAAGCATCAGACATTTATTATCTCGGTTTCTGGGCGTCGGATCTATGAATGACTTGACTGGAAGGTTTGGCTCAGACTCTCCCAAGGTTGCAGCCTAGGTATTGGGGCGGCTGCCGTCTTAGTTTTGATTGGGGTTCACTCACACGGTTCTTCCCCACTATGGACCTCCTCAGGGCTGCTAGAATGCCCTCACAACATGGTAGCTAGCTTCTCCCCAAGCAAGTAATCCAAGAAAGATAGGCCAAGATCGAACCTGCGCTCTTTTATACCTAATCTTAGAAATGGCATACCATCACTTGTACCATATCCTTTTGGTCACATCCTCCTACACAAGGACTTAAATACCAAGAGGCAGATCCTTAGAGGTTGACTAGCACACTTGTATTCCCATTTTACAGATGAGAAAACTGAGGCCCAACAAGGTGGTGAGGTTACCCAGCTGGTAAATAACAGAGCCAGGATTCAACCCAGCCCAGCTCTCTGCCCATCCCTTCAGACCTCCATCCAGCTGGCTAGTGACTATGTTTTCATTTCTTTTACTTTTTTTTTAAACAACTTTAGTACGTGTGCTAAGATAGGTGGGAGGCGTGTTCATGTGCCTTTCTGGCCCTTGATGCTCCTCAGGTAGCACCCCAAGATCCTTGCCCTCTTGCATGCTGCCCTCGTGCACACTGCCACCGGGCCGGCCACCGGGCCGGCCACCTGGCCTGGCCTCAAAGCGAGACCAGATTGAAGTGTGGAAGCTGAAACTTCTCCAAAAGGCTGCTGGTCTTTGCATTCGTTTTCCTTTCATCGTGTTTTTTCTGAATTTTCTTCAACTCCTTTTGGTTTAAATTCTCTTCTTGCTCAGGAGTCAGTTTGACCCCTTCTTGTGGTCTGGGCAGTGTCCTTCCCTTGGGCCCTGGTGTGGACAGCTTTTTAGTGGATAGCTTGCTTTGCAGACAGCAGAGACGGTCATTGTTTGGCGAGCCCCCTGGGAACTTCCTCACATCCACTCTCAAGGACCCACACTTCTTGTCCCCTCCTGTCCTGTGAGCTGGATGCTGCGAGGGCCAGTCTTACGTGACAGGTGCACATCCCACTCACACTGCTGCTTCCAGTGGTAGGGCTTCCTCAGGCCCCCAGTTTCGGAGGCAGTGGTCCCTGGAGAGGCCTGTATGGGAGGGCAGAGTGGAAGTTTGAACATGTGGGGCTCACCAACTCCAGAACCACATGCAAGCTCAGTTCCCCAAGGCTGGCCTCCCCGTTATGCTGGGGAATTTGCAGCACCCACCTCCCTTCCCCCATAGCCACATTGGTGCCACTGGCCTAGTAAAACTTTCTCTGCCCTCAAACTGACTCCCACTTAGACCCAAATGCTCAGCAGGCAAGGTGGCTTTGACATTCAGGAGACAAGGACAGGACAATTTGGAAGTTGCCTGCACACCCAGGGTGTTTAATTTTCATTACAATCAGAATGTACTCCCCTCCTCACCCCTGGCTGTAATTACTTTCTGACAGCTCCCAGGGTAATTCTGAGGGAAGATTAGTCCATGGTGTGGTAACCTTCTGGTCCCTGGCCTGTGGGGGGAAGGGGGATTGGACAGAAGGTGAGGAACATTCCAAAGCTGTAGCTGCCTTCACACACCCCCAGCCCGAAGCACAGCCAGGCTCCTCCCTCCTAGCTGGCTGCTCCCCCAGGTTGGCCTACCCAATTCCGCACATCACTTGGGGGGCTAGGGGGTGGCCCACTCCGTCCTATCTGGAGTACAAGTCCGGAGGCGGACACTTGCTGCCACAGTATGTCCTTTAAGCCTCACCCCAGTGGCCGCAGCAGCGACGCAAGATAAAATTGTTTGACAGTGCCTGCTCACTTGTTTTCTCTTTTGAAATGAAAATTACAGAAATTGAAAATGAGCAAAGCCTGAGATTACTTACCCAGAGAAGCCACCTTCGCCTTATTGGGGCCATGTTTGGAAGACTCTCTTATCTCTGGGGTATAATCATTTCCAAAACAAAACCAAAAAACAGAAAGTTCTGCAGCTGGGCTGTTTAATTACAGCAGTCAAGGGGGACAGACGGAGCCTGCTTGTCAAATCTGAATGCCAAATCTCCACTCCACCACTAAGCCTGCCCTGGCTTTGCTCTTTGGAACAGGCCTGGGGTCATCAACCCTGCCCCCTACATACAGACAGACACACAGACATGTCCACACAGGTGCAAACACATAGCACACACCACACATAGAGACACATGTACAATACACATAGATAAATATAGACGTGCATACACAGAACACATAGACACAAACACTCAAGACACACATGCATAGCACAGTGTCACCAGGAATGTGGGTTTATGGCCTGGCCCTTTGTAACCCCATGGGAGAAAGTGACCTCAGAGCCAGGATGGTGCTGGATGCCTGGGGATGTGGGGGTCAGGGTCCTGCTTGAGGAGCTCTGAGTACCGGGGGCGGCCACTCTCCTACCAGCTTCCTACCACTCGGTGGCTCACAGGCCCCTGTGTGAACACACCAGACATTCCTTGGATTCTTGAGGGGAGGGGGTCCTATCTTTGTTCCTGAAGCAGCTGGGAGCATGTGAAAATGTGGACACCCTCGAGGCCCCCAGAGAGTCTAAGACACCACCACACCAATGGCTCCTGCTCCATACCCTCAGAACTTCTAACAGACTTGGAGGTGGTAACTAGGAATCACCCCCTGGAACCCGGGCCTGTGGGGCTGTGAACACTAATCCCACCTGCTGGCTGTCTCTGAGGGCATCTGTATGATACCCATCTTTCCACTTCCTCAGCCTGCCAGTCCAGAGGCGGCGGCTGCAGCCATATTCTATACATGAGGTCAGGGCTGGGAGGGTCGTATGTAATGGCTGGAGACTGTAACCCAGCAAAGTCTAGAAGGCATCTGGGAGCTGGGATTCCCCTACGTTTTACACAACCAGGGTTTCCATGCTGCCAGGATTCTGATAGCTACAGTACCTCAATTTCTACCAAGAGAGCCACTCAAGCCCTGAGGGCAGATCGGAGGGAAGAGGGTTTCCTCCTGTCTCCGCTCCCCGCAAGCTCCATGCCCTCTAACACCCATTTTGAAAACCTCTGGTCTTCAATCCGTGGAAGCTCAGCCTGTGTTCTCAGCTCTGACTGGGGTGGGGTAAGATTCTAGAGAAACCTAACCCAGTGTAGGGACGCCCATGTATTGCAGATTTTTATTTGAGGTGAAAATGTATTAGGAAGTTTCAAAAAGTTCCTGGAAAAATGGAATAATTAAAAGATAATGGAATTTTTCCCCAAAGATTTTAAAGCCCCTGGATACACAATAAGACATACACCACGTGAGCAATTTCTACTGTACAATTGGGTGACATCGAGTTACCATCTTCAAGTTGTGCCACATTTCCCAGGAACCTTTTCCAAACAATTCCACCCTCATTAACACAAACCCACTGCTCCCCTAAGCGCCACATCAATCCTTTTGGTCACATGCAGCTTATTCTTTGGAGAGTATACTGTTTCACACAGACTTTCTCTAGTGTGGCTAAGCTAGTGCTTGGTTCAAAGATGACTTCAGGAGAAAGTTGTGGCTCAAGGTTTAAAGGTTTCCGCAGAGTAATAGTTTGGGCTTATCCAGCCTCTATGGATGCAGAGAGTCTGGATTCCATGAGGAGTTGAAATTCTGTTTCTCCTTTTCTGTTAGAAGTTTTAAAGCATTTCTTATCAGTGTTGTGCCCTGCCTAGAGCACCCCACCAATTGGAGGGGTTTGCAGTCACTCAGATCCTGGGTACATTGTGGGCTGGGTGACATCAGTCTTTCATTTGCTCTTGTTTGTTGTTGGTGTTAAGTGCCATCGAGTTAGATCTGACCCATAGCGACCCTGTATAGGGTTTCTGAGGATCAGCTGGTGAGCTTGAACCACCAATCTTGCAGTTCAAATGTCTTTGCAGTCTGCTGCATTACCCCACAGCACCACCCCAGGACTCCTGCTCTTGGTTGTTGTTGTTGTTGTTATTGTGTGCCGTGGAGTCGGTTCCAACTCATAGCGACCCTGTACAGGGTTTCCGAGGCTATTAATCTTTATGGGAGCAGAAAGCCTCATCTTTCTCCTGCGGAACAGCTGGTAGTTTCGAACTGCTGACCTTGAGGTTTGCAGCCTGATTCGTAACCACGACGCTACCAGAGCTCCTTCCTGCTCTTGTTTACAGATGAAGTAATCCATTTCCGGAAGCTTCTGGAAACAGTTACGTTCAGAGATTGTGACCTGAACTGATGTTTGTGTTCTGACTGCTCAGTCCTCCAGCAGAAGCACTCCTAAATGTGAGGGTCACTAACCAGTCCCACCCCCAGGGAGACCCTGTGGTCACTCAGCAGAACGCTGACCATGCCAGCTCCAAAGGCTGGACTCTGGGCTTGAGGACCACCATGAGAAATAAATCAATGAGGTATTAGAAGATACGCTCTTCTAACCGCACCCTAACTACACCCTGCACATGGTAGGAGCCCAAGAACTGTCACGAGCTATCTTGCCTATGTTTCTTTGACATTGTTGTTGTTAGGTGCCATTGAGTCGGTACTGACCCATAGTGACCTTATGCACAGCAGAATAAAACACTGCCCGATCCTGGGCCAACCGCACTACTGTTGCCATGCTTGAGTCCATCGATGCTGCCACCTGGCCAATTCATCTAGCTGGGGGTCTTCCTCTTTTTCTCTGACCCTCCACCTTGCCAAACATGATATCCTTCTCCAGCGACTGTTCC